TCCAATCCTCTGTCCTGTATATACCCTTATTCCTCTGGGGGGGTCATTTAAGTGGGTCTCAGTGAAGAGTTTCAGGGTCTTCAGTTTCCCAGTGATGTTTCCCTGGGAGTAGGGGGGACACTAACCCCCTGTGCTCAACCCCCTCATCCGCCGGGTCCTGCTCTTCAGACTCACCCAGGCATCTGAGCGCAGGCTCCCAGACCGTCTCCACCTGCCGCACTCCTGCTCACCAGTCCCAGTTTCTTAGGGATAGAGAGTCCTTTACAGACCAGACTCCGGCTCTCTCCTAAATCCCGGCTCTACAGCTGTCACCTCCACATCCCCAGCACAAGATCCCACAGAGATCCTGAGCGGTCTTCCCACTTCACGAGGCAGAAGCTAGTGGCTGCATGCAGGCTGTGATCCAGGCAGTGATCCACTCCTCCAGCGTTAGGTGTCCGGAGCTCCAAACACATACGGCCTCACGGCAGCATGTTCTGGCCCCTCCACCCCCCGTCACACCTGTTATCATTTAAAGTGCCTTTGATTAACCCCAAATAAAATTCAGCTGTTCTAGTAGGTCTTTCCTGACATTTTCTTAGTCGCATCCTACAGCAAAAGCCATGGTCCACAGAGAGCTTAAAAAGCATCAGAGGGATCTCATTGTTAAAAGGTATCAGTCAGGAGAAGGGTACAAAAGAAGTTCCAAGGCATTAGATATGCCATGGAACACAATGAAGACAGCCATCAAGTGAAGAAAATATGGTGCAACAGTGACATTACCAAGAACTGGACGTCCCTCCAAAATTGATGAAAACGAGAAGAAAACTGATCAGGGAGGCTGCCAAGAGGCCTACAGCAACATTAAAGGAGCTGCAGGAATATCTGGCAAGTACTGGCTGTGTGGTACATGTGACAACAATCTCCTGTATTCTTATGTGTGGGCTATGGGGTAGAGTGGCAAGAAGGAAGCCTTTTCTTATGAAGAAAAACATCCAAGCCTGGCTAAATTTTGCAAAAATACATCTGAAGTCTCCCAAAAGCATGTGAGAAAATGTGTTATGGTCTGATGAAAACAAGGTTGAACTTTTTGGCCATAATTCCAAAAGATAGGTTTGGTGCAAAAACAACACTGCACATCACCAAAAGAGCACCATACCCACAGTGAAGCATGGAGATGACAGCATCATCCTTTGAGGCTGTGTTTCTTTAGCTGGAACTAGAGGGAATTATAAACAGTTCCAAATACCAGTCAATATTGGCACAAAACCTTCAGGCTTCTGCTAGAAAGCTGAACATGAAGAGGAACTTCAACTTTCAGCATGACAACTACCCAAAGCATACATCCACATCAATAAAGGAATGGCTTCACCAGAAGAAGATTAAAGTTTTGGAATGGCCCAGCCAGAGCCCAGACCTGAATCCAATTGAACATCTGTGGGGTGATCTGAAGAGGGCTGTGCACAGGAGATGCCAAGAGTGAGAAAATAATGCCAAGTCTAGATGTGACATGCTGATAAACTCATACCCAAAAAGACTGCTGAAATAAAATCAAAAGGTGCTTCAACAAAGTATTAGTTTAAGGGTGTGCAGACTTATGCAACCATATTATTTTAGTTTTTTATTTTTACTTCCCTCCACCTAAAAGTTTAAAATTTTTTGGTAAACTGAGTTGTACAGCTTATAGGTTACTCCAAAAGAAAAACAAACGAAACCAGCGCTCCAATCTTCATGCAAACCAAGGAATTGTCAAATGCCAACCGTGTTTCGGGAGTTAAACCCCCATCCTCAGGGCTCTGAGGAAGGGGGTTTAACTCCCGAAACGCGTCAGCTTATCCGCATCATTAGACACAGTTGCATTGCGACTGTTTTTGTGGATCACCTATACTGCCCATTATCACGTTGGTTTGTGAGTATACATCCTTTCTATTTAATAAATTACATGTTATACCACGGTAATGCACGATGAGAGTGTGCCCTTGTTTGTTTTTATTCATCAGTGGTCAGCTTATAGGTTACATTAAAGGAGGAAAAAGTTCTGAAATGATTTACCTTTTTCTCATTTTTTACATCACAGAAACCTGACATATTAACGGGTGTGTAGACGTTTTAGAACCACTGTATATTCTGGCGTTCACTGTAAATCACAGGTATGGCTTCCTCTTTTGTATGGCTACTTGGTTTGTTGTGTGCCTGTAGTCATAGGTTGGTACTGTTATTTTGTATGTCATATGCAAAATTGGTAATAAAAAGAATTTTACAAAGAAAAAAAAAAAAATCAGTAAACAAAATGAAGAATAACCCCACTAACATTGACTTTGCAAATGGGTGTACAACTTCCCCCAAGTAATAGGGTTTGTTTGCACGTTTTAGCAGATTGACAACGGATAACAAGCATTAAATAAACTACACCCCATCAACACCCTATTAAAGCAGAACTAGTGTTTTAAAGTGGAATTCCAGCTTACACCTAACTTGCTTTAAAATTGCTTCCATACCCTTCCAAACACCTAACGTGTACCAATGGTCAAGTCATGTGATCTGTCCTGTAAGCCAGTGGCCAGAGAGGAGAGGGTGCCCCAATGGCAAGTAAAGTCCGGAGCAATGAAGTCACTCAAAGGCTTCAATGATCCATTCATTTTTTTGAGCTCCCTCCTCTCGCCTGCAGTCAGGTAAAGGCGGAGGCAGTTTAACCCCTTCATGACCAAGGTCAAAACAAACAACACCCAGATCCAACTTTGCAACTTTGACATGGAAAACTGGCCCAACACAACATAATTTTTTCAAATGCAGCCTTATATTTTAATGCCATTGTCATAACCAAAATAAAAAAAAAAAGATCTGCAAGATAAATTCTCCTACTGCTGACATTCGTGGTGATATGTGTGTGTTATTTGTTCTTTGTACTCATAGTACGGACAAGAAACAATAGTATGCATTTTGCGTTTTTTTGTCCTACGTAAATACATTGACACAAATATAAATGCCTTTTTTCCCATACCTAAAACACACTGACCCTAACACTACCACTAACTGAAACCAACACTGCTACTAACAGTAACTGACACTAACAGTGACACTTATATTAACTGAACTAGTTAAAAACATTTTTTAAAACAGATTTTTTTTTTAAAGGAAGGGCACACAGGGTGAACTCAGATTTGATTAAAGCAGAGCGGGCAGATGAGAGGTCCATGTCTGCTCAGTTTATGCAAAGCGGACACAGACAGTGCCCACTCTGCTTTATGGGCGACTGGGTGTAAACTGGTGGATCCGTTCTGCCTAGACAGAGGAGGACAGATCCCTTTCTAATTTTTTTTTAGCAGACTGGATAGGATCGGAGGTAGTCGGTTGTAAACGGATAAGTCTGTAAAAATACAATTACAACTTCCGGTCCATAGGGGTGAATGGACTGTCCGATCAGGTTCGCCTGAAAAAATGACAGGCAAACGTGATCGGACTCTTCTTGTGAAAGAGGCATAACAGTCTTCTACTCTACCAAGGAGGAAAAGATACATTGTATCTTTTCCACCTCACTAGAGGATAAGACTATTGTTTCTCCTCTTTTAAAAAAGGAGAAACAACACAGGTACAGGCTACAGAATGAATAATCACTGTGATTGCCAATCACAGGCTATCACAGCAATTATGTAATCAAGAGTTTTTGATTTTTAGTAAAAACCAGGAGTGGTCATAGACAGCTTGGTCTCAGTGCTGGGAGCGCACTTCCAGCACAAACAGAGGAACACATATGCCCAGGATTAAAGCTCACTTCCTGGACGTCACATAAATGTGTTTCCCAGTTGTAAAGGGGTTAAAGGCTAGTTGAGGTGTAAGCTGGAATTCCACTTTAAGTAATGTGCAAATAAAGTACGTACAGTTATTGACACACTGTATATAAGCAGGAGCAACTGCTTTTTTTAAAAAAAATGGAAGATATTTCCAGCAGCATTACATTTTTTTTAATATATTCTGTATTATGACACATAGGTCTGTTTAAGGCCTCAAGCACATGGGCTTATGAAAATAAGCAGCATTTTTTTTCTACCAGAATTTAGCAGACAGATTGCCTCTAATGTTACAATATGCATGCACACTTGCGCACGTATGGTGTTTGACCATAAATGAATTTTACTGGCTAGAATATGATTTTATTCTGGGCATTGGAATATATTTACATTTAGACACATTTACATGTGTTTCTTTGCTCTAAAGCTCCTCTTAGGACATGCCTTCAGAGCATTTTTTTTTCTGCCTGTAAATGCTTCTTTTCAAATACACCTGTAAATGTTTATGTATGCATGGCCACATAGGCCAACATAGCGGTGCTTTTACAGGCTTAACAAAGAAAAAAAAGACTTTAAAAAAAAAAAAAAACCTGATCTTTTAAGCACCACGTGCATGAGGCCTTTACGCCTGGTTCACACCTATGCATTTTTTTGTGTGTTTTGCAGAAACGCACTACTGTCCATTTAACATGCTTTCCTATGGGACACGTTCACATCTATGCGTTTTCAGCTGCTGCTTTTTTGGAATAGGCAAGGGACTTTTTTAGCGCCGCAGATTGCATTTTTGGTGCAACAGACTTCAATGGAACCAAACCAAAAATGCAAGTATTTCGTTTTTATTCGTTTTGTGTTCTTTTTTGCCCAATACGAAAGTATTGAGTGTTACTTTGATGCGACTTTGGCACTCTCTGGCACCTAATTCGCATCAAAGTCACATCAAAACAGTGCAGAAACACTTTTCAAAGTCACTGTGTTTTTGAAAAGGTTCCTGCACTATTTATACATGCAGTATATATGCTGCATATGGCAGAAGAAATGCTATTTACACTGTATCAACATATACTGTATAGAATTTCAAACCTATGTCTACCTCTTCATAAAACTATATTTAATAGCTTTATGACATTTACTAATTGTAAACAATTTAAAATGACGCTTACCACATATTAAAAGAACTAATGTCAACATTATTTTAGTGTCAAATATTGTGGTAAAATATTGTCCCAAAACTGGGTTGAGGGGTCCAGATTCTTCAATTTTGCAGACTTTTCTGATTTTGTAGATTCATATTCCTCAAGGTCATGTTTCCTAATATTTTTAACATTCTTTTTTTGCTTACCAGTTTGTTTTGTAGTTTTACTGGATTGATTTTTTTCTTCTCATTGGCCTTCTTCTCTATCTCCCCTTTTCCCTTTTCTGTTTTTTTGTCTTTGTTTTTCTTTAAATTTTCTTTATCTTTTTCTTCTTCCTCCTCTTCTTCATCATCTTGCTCCTCATCATCATCCTCCTCATCCTCTCCTTCTTCCTCCTCCTCCTCATCTTCATCTTCTTCTTCCTCCTCCTCATCTTCTGTTTCCTCTTCATTTTCTCCTTCTGCTATTTCCTCCTCCTCCTCATTTTCTTCTTCTTCTTCAGCTTCCTCCTCCTCATTTTCCTCTTCTTCAGCTTCCTCTTCCTCATTTTCCTCTCCTTCAGCCTCCTCTTCCTCCTCCTCCTCATTTTCCTCCCCTTCAGCTTCCTCTTCCTCCTCATTTTCCTCTCCTTCAGCTTCCTCTTCCTCCTCATTTTCCTCTCCTTCAGCTTCCTCCTCCTCATTTTCCTCTCCTTCAGCTTCCTCCTCCTCCTCATTTTCTTCTTTTTCCACTTCCTCCTCCTCATTTTCCTCTTCTTCAGCTTCCTCCTCCTCTTTTTCAGATACCTCCTCCTCATTTACTCCTGTTTCTGCGTCCTCTTCCTCCTCATTTTCCCTTTCTCCTTCCTCCTCTTTTCCATCTTTCTTTGGCTTCCTCCTCATTTTCCCCCTCTTCTTCTTCGTCCTCCTTCCCCTCATCTTCACTTTCTTCTGCTTCTTCCTCAACTTCTGCTTCATCTACTTTTTTTTCCTCTTTTGCCACTCCTGCATTTTCTTCCCCTGTATCTTCATCTTTTTCATCTTCTTCCTCCTCTACTTCTTCCTGTTCTGCTTCATCGGTGGCTTCTACTTTTTTTCTTTTATATTTGTCCATGGTTTCTTTTTCGCCATCTTCCTGTTCCTCTTTTCCTTCCACATCAGCAACTTCATCATCATCTTCTTCTGTCAGGCCGCTTTCTTTATTTTCACTGTCTTCTTCCTTCTTGCTTGATTCTGCCATTTTAATATTTTTCAAGACAGAATCTTCTACACTCTTTTGTTTAACAAGTATTTTACCTTCTTTTTTCTTACTATAATATGTAGGTATTCTGTGTTCATTTGAATGCTCGGTACTGCTATCACTATGCTTGTCTTTCTTAAAACACTCTACTACTCTGTCACCCTTAGATTTTTTACTATTCAATTGTGATTCATTCTCACTAAGTTGGCTTGAAAAATCTTTTATTAAAGAAACACCATTTCTAAATTTCTGATCTGTCAAATTGTCCGAGCTGGAAGAAGAGGATGATGTATTTTCACTTTTACAAGCAAAATTATACCCATTTCGACCACTGGCCATTTGCTGTCCACTAATACTTTCATGGCTTTGGACACGGATTATTCTGGGGGTCTTATGATATTGTTTATTGTTTTTGGATTTTGTTACGCTAACTGGTTCACTACTTACAAATGATGTAGCACCAGCCTTACTCTTTGTCATATCTTCCATACTATTCTTTGATTTTTGCTTCTTAGCTCTCTTTTGGGCCTTAGAATGGCTTACATTAGTTTCTTTCTCTGTACTATCTTTTTCCAATGAACTGAATTGCTCTTGACTGGCAACATACTTTGATTTGCCAGCTTCTGAGGCTTTTCGAAATTTATCTTGGATACTTCTTTTCATAGTGTGTGCATGGGTCTCTGCTCTAGTAATTTCAGATTCCTCGCTGTTGGAACTGATTGACTTGCTCTGAAAAGGCAGTGATGAAAGAGATCTGCTGCTCTCCTTCGTCTTGACCTTACCATCAGCTTTCAGTTCCACATTTTTAATGTTCTTCTACTCCACCAGAGAGGCAAAACAATGAAGAAAGAATGGAAAGAGTAAAAAAAATGATGAAACAAAATGCAAGAGCAAGCAACACACAAGTAAAGAATGAGACAAAGAAAAACAAGTAAAGAAAAAAAAACAGACATGCAAAAAATTGACAAAGCATTCACATGCAGATGGAAACAGTGAAACAAAATAACCCTAAAATTTGGGAAATTGAAGAAGTTCAGTAATTTTTAACATTGTCACAAGGTATGCTTACAGTTGCATGGAACTGTATCAACTTGAGTGTGATGCAAGAACTTTTATTGTAATTCTCAGATTGTCTGTTGTGATGATGGGCATGTTCTTGTTGTAAATACTTAAAAAAAAAGCTTTGCATTTAAGGATTATGTTTTTTAAAACAAAAAGTTATTTTAACCAATATTGCACATCACCTTTGAAGAAAAACAATATTTCTGAAATCTGTCTAGGAACCAGTGAAGATTCCTGCTATAAATCTTTACATTGTAGATAGGAAAGTAAAAGCAGAACTCTAACGGATTCTATGAATAACATCTGCAAGTGATGCTAAGGATTCAAACGGGATTCCTAAAGGAGAGGAACTAAATTGTTACCATAACTTTAGCAAATATCAAACACAGACGACTGACACCATTTTTTTACAATCTTTAATTTTAAAACCTAAAGGCATGTAATAACTGAGAGAATGTCACCTACCTTTCTTTTCTGAACTGGAGAGAAAGTACTGCCATCAGGCGTTGTGCTTATGGCATGGGTCTAAAACAGAGAAAATAATTCTTTAATAAACTGTTGTATAAAGCACAGCTAAGAGACAAATATAAACATGTGATTCAATAATATACAGTGTGATTAAAAAAAGATGGTGTAAAAGTAAAGTGGATTTATTCATAATGGAATTAACCTGACACAACTGTATTAACATGGAAAGACACATTAACTGTCCAGGTTTTTCCTATGTACTACAAATGTTCAATGTGAACCCCGCTGGTGACACAACAGTTGTCGAGACAGTATACTAGTTCTGTCCAGACTTGTGTCAGCGTGTCCCTGGATATTGACTCCACTGCTTCTGGGATACATTGTCTCAGGTTGTTCAGTTCCTGAACAAAGTATTTGGTGTACCCCCAAAGAAAGAAGTCACAGGGTATTAGGTCTGAGGATCGCAAATATCAGAGTGATATTGGCAAATCTTTCTTTCTTGCATGGCAACTGCCCTTTTTCATGCAAATCGCAAGCCAAAAAGCCTTCTCTTGCTTTGATTTGGCCATTTTGTGTACACAGTACTACACTATGACTCTGATGATGATGACATAAACAATCAAACAATAACTTGAGATCTGTTGCCTTATTTTTAACAATTGGCCATTTACCAATATCGTCATGGAGCAAAAGTAAAAACCTATAGCAAGCATGATAACAATGCTAAACAGCAATCATACTGTGTCACCAATGGGGGCTCACATCGAACATTTGTAGTGCAGAGATATAAATTTGCTGGTAATGTGTCTTTTCATGTTAATACAGTTGTGTTAGGTTCATTCTGTTATATAAAGCTTTACTTTTGCACCATCCTTTATGAATCACACTGTATATCAAGAGGAGACTCAACAGTTTTTGGCCTTGGACAATCCTAAAATCCAAGTATGTTTAAATGTGACCTTTATTATAAATTCAGCTAAAGTAGGATATATTGCCATTCCTCAAAGGAATGCAAAAAATACATAGCCTTTATTAGGGGCTCCATCTACAGTACAACATAATACTCAGATAATTATTTTTGAAAAATCTAATAAATACTACTCACAATGGGGTGCAGTAAAACCTGAAGTGAAATATTGTAATATATATAAAGGAAATAAACACCCAAATATTTAAATGAGTCAAGGTTTAGATGAGAAAGATTCCAAAATAATAAAAAACGAGACACAATTAAAAAAATCAGTATATAAATTATTCTGGATTAAACCACCAAAAAAAAAAAAAAAAAGTACTTACTTCCAAGTATAAAATGTGTAATGTACCACTGTCAATTACACAAGATACGAGGGTGAGTCAGTAATTATCTGCACTCTATTTCTACAATTTATTAGAACAACAGTATAGTTATATCATAGTCCCCTTGCTTTTCAAAATGCTTGTTTTGTTGTTTAACAAACTTGTATATACACTAAAAAAAAAAAAAAAAAAAATGTTTTTGGTTTGTCATGTCTGCACAGCTTCGTGCACCTGTTGGTCTGTGGCAAATAGACAACCTTTTAAGGCATAATTAAGTGGACCAAACAGATGGTAATGTGAGGGAGCGAGATCTGGACCATATGCAGGATGCCCTGATACCTTCAACAGTAGGTCTTGGTGTTTGGTTTGAATTGCAGGTTTCAGATTGTCACACAGGAGCTCACTGTAACGTGCATGGTTTACTGTTGAGACATTCTCCAAATAATTTTCCAAAAATTGACCCTTGTGAGTCCCAAAAACTGTGAGCATCACTTTTCCTGCAGAGGTTTGAGGTTTGAATTTCTTTTTGACTTTTGATTACACGTGCTTTCATTCCATACTCTGGAATTTCTGTTTCAAAAAGTGATGGATCCATGTTACATTTTCATCAACTTTTCTTTTCAAATAAACTTCATCTTTGTTAGCAGTCCAGCAAACGTTAACAGATGGGCAAATGACAGTACTTGTGCTATTCGGTGAGCTGTTTTGGGACCCATCTTGCACAAACTTAAAGTGGTTCTAAAGGCTGAAGGGTTTTTTACCTTCATGTATTCTATGCATGTGCCCCCTCCCCAATCCTTACCTGAGTCCCCTCCGATCCAGCAATGTTCTCGACAACCTCTGCTGTCTGTGGACTCTTCGTCCTCAGCCCATGGCTGAGATACCAGCTGGAGCCCATTTACGCTCACTGCTGTCAATCATAGCCAGTGAGCAGAGAGCGGGGGTGGGGTGGGGCACAGGGCCAAGCGTCTTATGGACACGTAGAGCACACAGCGGTACCCCCAGGGTGTGCAGCTTTCCCTGGGGACACTGCTCGAGGGGGAGGAGCCAGGAGTGCTAGTGGGGACCCAAAAAGAAGAGGATCTGGGCTGCTCTGTGTAAAACCACAGAGCAGGTAAGTATTATTTAACCATTAGCCGCCCGGCCAATAGCCGTTTGGTGGCTTCAAAAGTGTTCCTGCATTCCGGGTGCACGCCATTTGGCGTGCTCCCGCACATGCGCAGTTTGCGCTAATGCAAAGCGGCGCAGCAGCGCTATCTGTCACCGGCCGTGCACCTCGGACACGCCCGATGACAGATCCGAGTACTTGCTCCCGTTGCTGGTACCATGTGACCTGCTGTGACCAATCACAGCAGGTCACATGACAGTTGTATACAATGGATGGCTTCATTCATGCCATCCATTGTATACTAGTGCCTAGCTGTGAATGGTCACAGCTAATCACATGCACATGTCATGTGATTAGCTGTGACCAAATCACAGCTAAGCACAAAGAAAAAAACAAAAAAAACTGAATGAATCGATTTCATTCAGGTAAATGCTTGCTTATAGCAAAGTAACTCTTTGCTATAAGCAAATTGTGTAAAAAAAAATAAATAAATAAAAATACTGATCACTTCCCCAAAGTAGTACAATGTTACTATGGTAACATTGTACTACTTTGGTCATAGTAAAATATGAAAAAAAAAATCTTAAAAAAAATTAAAAAAAATGTAATAAAAAATTAAAAATTAAAAAATTAAAACAAATTAAAAAAAATATATATATATTTTTTTTTTTTCCCATACTGTCACCAGTCAGTGTCCCTGTTCACCGCCATGCCAGTTATATGATGACGCTGTACTGCACTGGTGACAGTATGTAAAAAAAAAAAAAAAATAGTGAAAATAAGTTTTTTAATTTTTTCATTTTCCGAAAAATTATGACAAAAAAATACAACTTCAAAAAACTCGCCATGCCTCTTATGAAGTACGTCGGACTGTCTACTCTGCAAAAAGGGGTCATTTGGGGATATCTGTACTATTCTGACATTCTTGGACCTCAAGAAATTAGATTGGCTGTCAGTACTTCAGGATTGATCAATTTTCAGATATATACCATAGTTTGTGAACTCTATAACTTTCCTACAAACTAAATAATACATCCTAATTTGGGTTATTTTCACCAAAGACATGTAGCAGAATACATCTTGGCCTAAATTTATGAAGAACAATTATTTATTTGTAAACTTTTATAACAGAAACAAAGAAAAATGTGTTTTTTTTTTCAAAATTTTTGGTCTTTTTTTGTTAATTTAGCAAAAAATAAAAACCCCCGCGGTGATTAAATACCACCAAAAGAAAGCTCTAGTTGTGTGAAGAAAATGATAAAATTTTAGTTTGGGTACAATGTTGTATGACCGCGCAATTGTCATTCAAAGTGTGAGAGCGCTGAAACCTGAAAAATGGCCTGGGCAGGAAGGTGTAAAATTGCACGGTATTGAAATGGTTAAAAAAAAAAAAAACCAAAGCTTTAGTGTCACTTTAATTAAAGCAAACCCTGTTATGAATAATCTCATATGCAGAATCACGACTAATTGGCTGATAATGTGCCAGTTCATCGACAGTTAATTTTCACTTCGTCTTAATCACGGCATGGACTTTCCCAATGTTGTCATCCATAGTGGATGTGTGTCGGCATCCTGCTTGTTCAACTGTTTTTGAACCTCCCAATCTATTCGTATATACTTCACTAGGGTAAAACACTGTCCCCATATTGTGATGAAAGCCTTCGATTCACCTCCTGGTTACACCTTCAGTTTTCAAAAAAAAAAAATCATAGTTCGCTGTTCTTCTTTGGTGCAAACAGAGAGTGGCGTGGCCATGTCTACTGTGCACCAGCAGCATAAAAGACTGATTGAAAAAGGTAAAACATTTGATAAAGCAAAGGTGCCATCTCGACATGTGTAAGCAGAAATCTGTACAGCCAACCTAAAGAATATTATAGCAAAAAATGCAGATAATTAACGACTCACCCTCGTACACAGACAGTGGATACAATACAAAAAAATAGCTACACTTAACCATAATAATTAAAAAGCATAAGGAGAAAAGCCTATTATCTGTGTACTTTAGTTCAACTGTATCTCGATTGCAAAATTTAAACCACAACAGTCATTTTTTAGCCTACATACCATGTTTAAAATATCTGTTGTACCCCCAAAACTCTGCCGGCTCACATTATCAGAGTCATCTGCAGAAAAACTTTTTACCAAGTCCTTCTGACTTTTTCCCTCTGCACAAAAAAAAAAAAAGGAAAGGAAAATTTGATTAAAGCAACATTAAATAGCTACACAATATCACAAAATAAAGTGTAGCTTTTTTAGGTTTTTTTTTTCCACGTTACTCATTTGATTAAAGCAGTTGAAATGAATCAAGTATATCCCCAGAAACTGTACTAATGTGAATCCTGGCCTTTATCTATAAGTGAGTGACCCCCCCCCCCCCTTCCAAGTGCACAGGCGGTGATTGACAGCCTCAAATGCGCAGGTTTCCCAGTGATGAAGTGTAGAGGAGGTTGTGTCTATTCTCTCCACTAAGGTGTCAGGTCACACTCAGCTCTGTGCTGTGGAGTGTGTGACATCAAATTCCCATTCCTATGCCTCCTGGAAGCTGAGAAATAGGATCTGCGTTGTGTTCTTTGGAGGGCTACAAATAAAGAGGTACAGCTTATGTGGGAATATTTGCTTCAACGTCATTTTAAGTGGGCTTATGTAAGGGTTTATTACCACTTTAAAGAAAATCTATAGGTACAAAATGCTGCCACGTATACACTCCAAGCCATCTAGAGGTGTTTGCATATGCCTGCAACAGTCCCTCAAAACCCTGCTGTTACAACTGAATCCCTGGCCATTGTGACTTCTTCATAATGTTCATGTTTGACCACTCTATTTCTTTTGGGCATTCCTACTGGCCAGTAAGCTGGTGGAGGGTGGGATGTAGCAAAAGTATTAGAGCTTCACCTGTCAGAATGGCCTAGGATTCAGCAGGTTGTTGAAGGTACAGTATGTTCAAGACACCTTTAAGGCCTGCACTTTAAACAAGAAGCAGTATATTATTTTAATTATAATCACTTTAAAGTAGAACTCCAGTCACTCGTTTCTCCTATTCTGCTTCTGCCTCTTGGTAGAAAACTTTGTTGCTCTGTCATTTTCTCCCCTTCCACACTCCAGTGTATGCCTTAAAATTTTCATAGAAAGGCACTAAAACAATCATACTTCCTATTTTCTGACTCCCAGTCCACCACAAGTCATAATTACTGTCTTGGATTGTATATGACACCCTCTGGGCTTCGGGGATGTAACTCACACCATCTGTGTTCTATGTGCACCCACAACTTCTGTGGAACCAGTTTAATCTGGATGAGAAAGAGTCTGCCTCCTCTGCACACTGAATTCCAGGAACAGCAGTATACTGTAAGTTGTTCTCTCTATATGTAAATGAAGTGTTATCTTTCAGCGAGTACAGTTGACTTTGGGTTCCCTATTGTATAAGGTGATAATGTGTGTTGCCCACTTACACAAAAGCAGTAAGGAACATGGAAGAGGAGCTCAGTGTAGTGTCTTATACATTGGCAACAATGTATAGAACACAACAATAGACAACCACAATGTGCTTAAACAGGAGCTCCAGTCTCCTGTAAAAAAAAAAAAATAAATAAATAAAGTCAGCAGCTACAAAAACTGCCACTCACATATCCCTCGATCCAGCGATGCTCACCCCAGCCCGGTTCACCGGCCACCCTCTGACCCCAGAACCGGCATCTTAACTGTGGGCACCCAACTGTGACAGCTTATGGCTTCATAGTCGGTTGCCCACTGCGTATGTGCAAGCAAAGCAAAGGAGGTTCAACCATGTATTACTCTAAGGGTTCACTTACTTTTTCCTCCAGCTCTATGAATGTTTAATGGGTGTGTTCAATAAAGACACAAGAAATTAGAATTGTTTGTGTGTTATCAGTATACAAACAATTTGTCTATTGTTATGACTTAAATGAGGATCAGATCATATTTGATGGCACATTACTGCAGAAACCAGTTAATTCCAAGGGGTTCAAATACTTTTTCTTGCCACTGTAATAAGCAGTGGTGGTTGGGGAGAGTAAGTATAAAAAATATAGAGTGCTGCACACTGAAGTTCTACTTTAAGGTCTTACAAAATATATATATAACATAAAAAAATGTATTCTCAACAAGAGCAAAAGTAGAAATATGATCTGTAGGCAGTCTTCTCCAAGTTGTTTTTTTTTAAGTTAGGACAGTCCATTGTTTGACTTGGGTACAACTAGCCTGTTGGATTTTTTACATGTGATTACCGCTAGCGGCTAAAGCTGCTAGCAGCAATCGTGTTCTGCTGGCTGGGAAGGCTCCCTTCTGGCAGAACACAATAGTACTGTGGGAGGGATTCCCCCATCAATACTGACTGTGCCAATGGGGGAATTGAGTGATTTTCTTTTCTTGCACCTGTGGTAAAAGGAAAGAAAATCGCTATATCTATGGGCTGCTTTACTCTAAACAAACAAAAGTTTTGGAAAAGGAACAATGGAAGTCACTTAAACTGAAGATTATAGTGAAGGCATACCAGACTTTGAAACTGCTGATGAGTCGTTGGCACTGGATTCAGTACTAGCTTTTCTTACTTTGAGAAGACCTGGTGGAACAGTTTTGCTAGTAACAGGCAAGAAAGATTCCAGTAAATTGCCATTTAAAGGTGGTAATGTACGAGTCAAATCACGGATCGGATCGCCTGTTTGTTTCTTAAATAAAAAGAAAAAGTATACACTTACATTGTTTCAGGTACAGAGACATAAAGGTTTAAGAGCACAACGCTGTGTAACATAATAAATAGCTCTATCAGGTTATTGACTAACTGGATTTACTTTGTATAAGTGAAAAAGTAATAATTCATTGCCAATTCAGAAGTCCAGCCAAACAGCTAAATACACAGAAGGTAAACATATATGTAACTATTTTATCCACCAAATATGTATTCGCCAATTTGACACACACACACACACACACACCTTATTACATTAAATTAGTATTTCTGCTCATCCAGTCCTGCAATTTACAGCTCTGCTACACAGCACAGTCCTCTTTGGCAAGGTAGGAATTCAGATTATACTCTGCTGCTATTAAAGTAACTGTCATTAGTGATACACTGAGGTTGCCATTGCAGTCCTCATTCTGTAAATGCTAGATGGCTGGCTGTGTCTGGTTTTAGTATGTTTTCAGTATGTAACATTCTTCATTATTTTCTTATGAGAACTTCTCAATAAGTTGCACTTACAGGTCTTGTCAATCACCCACCCTTGAATTGGACAGTAGAAGGAGAAGCAGCATTCCATGAGCTCAGCTCTTTGTCAAGCTACTCTCTCCTTGTATCAGCATGTTCCTTGTTAGCACAGAAGCACTGCAGTACAAATGACTGTCTCCTTGTGCTGCTTCTAGCTCTCACAGTCTGAGTTCTGCTAATTACACTGCTTGCATGCATGAAAAAAAAAGATGCATTCATAAATTCAGAACTGCATTCTTTTATATCTGTCTGGAGTTTAGCTATAACATAATGACAGTAGTGTGATGAATGACAGCTCTTTACATTCTTTTGCTGAGGACAACCTTGTTTTGCCTACCACTGCCCTTCTGAAAGGAATGATAAATGGAGACCATTTATCACTCTTACATTAACAGGTTATCATGAGGGATGTTCAAATCATTGACATATCAGGCAAAAAATGACTTATGGATCTTTCGTTTCTCCTTTCACCTTGTGCTAGTGACTGGAGTAATTAACAGGTGTTCTAATGGATTATGAAAATATTCAAAAGTCAATTTACCTAGAGGAAAAGATTACATTTTACAAGCTTCAGTATAATTTAAAAGTCATTAAACCACAATTCACAAGCTGACTTGGTGGAGGATTCATTAATAAAATATGAGGAAATTCCCTGTAGCCTTAGTTTATTGCAAAACTCCTTCAAAACAGATATATTTAACTGAGCACTCTAAGTATGCATATCAATTAATTTATGTTTTCCACAATGTGAAATTTTAAAGCCGGGCAATCTACCGTACAAGTCAGTGGGCAAATTTTAGATCCAAGGGATGTGCTTTCATTGGTAACCATGTGAATGGTTATGAGCTTGTTGGACATCCCATTCCAAACAGGTCATTACTGTGGTGTCCCCTCACCCACTTTCCTGCTATGACATCCTCCACTTCTCTGGGAGTTACTTCCACAAGGTTTTTGGGGAGTGTCTGTGGGAATTTGAGCCCATTTAGCCAAAAGAGCATTTGTGAAGTCATTGTGGACAAGAAGGGTAGCCTCACAGTTGACATTCAAATTCATCCCAAAGGTATTCAGTAGGGTGGAGATCAGAATTCTGCACAAGCTACTCTATTATTTCACACCACACCACATGTTTATGGACCTGGCTTTGAACACATGGACACAGCTGTGCTGGTACAGAAATGTTTTTTCCCGAATCTGTTGCAACATTTCTAGAAGCCCTCAGCTGTCTAAAATGTTTTTGTATGCTGTAGCCTTAGCAGTAGCCTTCATTAGAAATATCTAAACTCAGTAATTTAGAAGGGTGTTGTGACATGAAAACTAGTTCAAAGGAAGTCTGTAATTTAGTCAACTGATCCACATAATTCATCAATGAATTCCTGTGCCCACTCAGGAGGACTACAGATGAGGTTCCTCTCTGCAGCAAGCACAGGAGTTTTTGTATTTTATACAGATAACCTTTACTAGAAGCAGCGGGTTTTGGCGGAGGTCTCTAGTGAAGTCAAGGTACAATTTAGTAGAGAGAGATAAGAAGGAGATTAAAACTGCTGGTGCATTTTGTTCTGCACCTGTGTATGCTATGATTGGAACTGCTGGGACTTGTAGTTCCTTATAGCTGTGAGTTTCTGTCTGAATACTAAAACCCCTTTTCCCCCTCTGTGGACCCTTTTCCCCCTGTATCTTTATAGACACAAACCTATGCCCAGACTTCAACTTTGTTCTCCTTGATCCAAGAGCCACTTCCTGGTACCACTCTGCCCTCCTCACCCTTCCCTTCTGGGGAACACTGCAGGCAGGTCTCCCTGGACCTCACCTTTCCCAGGACCCAGAAATCTCTCTCCAAAAGGGCTCTGCAAGCTTACACTCTGCGGATCATTCTGCCTGAAACTCCATCAATGGAGGTTGTGACAGATGCCTTTAGCGTGACTTTTTCTTTATCATCTTGTGTCTCATTGACATCCCCTTTTCTGTATCCATGGACTTGCTCTTTTGATGTTCCATACAGCTATCCTGTGTTTCTTCTGATTGATCTTTTGCTCTGCCTTGGATTACTAACCTGTGATTGCTGCCCTCTGACCCTGGACTTGCTCTTTGAGGTTCCATACTGCTACAATGTGCTCCCACTGATTACTCTTTGCTTTTCCCTGGATTGCCACACTTTGACCCTGGCTTTTATGATGTTCCATACTGCCATCTTGCTTCCTTCTGTTTGCCCCTTTGCTGTGCCTTGGACTGCTAAACTGGGATTTCAACCCCATAACTCTTGACTTAATCCTTGCTGTACCCTGTTACTGTTTGCCCTTGCTGTGTCCCTTGCTAAACCATACTGCTACCCTGTGACCTCACTGGATTAACCTGTGCTGCACTTCAGATTGCTGTCCTGTGCCTCCGGGACTTATTTCCTTGCTTTGCCATATTACTTTGTTGTGACCCAAGTGGATTAACCCTTGCTCTACTTCAGATCCCTATCACTGTGATTCTGGACTTATTTTTTACTGTGCCTTATTACTGCCCCATCACCTCACTACCTGTCCAGTGCTGTGCCTGTAATTACTGTCCTGTGCACTTACCCATTTGATAAATGACCTGCTTCTTGAACCTTTTAATAAAGAACCCCTTCAGTCAATGGTCCTAAAACCCTCCTGATCTGTGTGTGTGCTGTGCTCCGCACCCACACCTCCATCATAGGTGTCTACATACCTATGGCCTTATCATGTAATAGTGTATAAGCGAAGGTCATGAGTTCACAAAATTGTGGCTATATAGTGTATGTAGGAAATATAAAATTACTTGAATGATAATATACCTTTTCTCTTCGTCTAACACGAGCAGAGGGAGATCTCTGCAATGTTGTAGATTTGTTACCATCTCCATTTACCATTAAATAATTTTCCTTTAGCTCATCAACAAAGACAGTTTCAGATTCTTTAGGTCTGGGTATAGCAAAGACAAGCATATGACAACCACCACATGCCACCTGCAAAGGAAAACACAATATGATTTAAAAGAATAATGGTAATTTATGTATTCTGCTCATTCATATAGGGTAGACCTTAGTGCTTTATGGAGAACACGAAACCATTCATAACAATTTCTGTCCTAAGGCTCCATGCACACTAGAGTTTTTTTAAGCTCCTAGAAACTGTTATCAGCTTTTTTTCTGCTCCTAGAAGTTAAATAGTGTTATCCTATAGCGTTTTTCAGGCAGAAAGAAAACACTAAACGCTACTAAACATTTTTTTCCCTAGATTTTTTTACATGTACTGTAAAAACACAAATAAAATGCTAACGCCCCTAAACGCTACTAAAAATGCTATTACTAGCATTTTTTTAGCTTAAAAAAATAAAATAAATAAAAATAAAAACTCTAGCATGCATGGAGCCTAAAGGAGTTTACAGTATAATGTCTTTATAGCAATTATACAAACATTAAAGTGGTTCTAAGGGCAGAATGTTTTTTTACCTTAATGCATTCTATGCAATAAAGTTATAAAAATACCTTCTACATGTAGCTACCTGTGCCTCCCCTATACTTATCCAAGCTCAATCTCGATTCAGCGAAGTGTACGAAAGCAGCAGCTCTCGCGCTCCTTATTGGCTCGGAGACAACAGCAGGAGCAATTAGTTCCTGCTGTTGTCATTCACAGCTAGTGATGGGGGGCAGGGCTGAGCTGTGCTCTGTGTGTTAATGGACACACATAGTGGCAGCTCGGGAGCAAGTCTGCACGAATATCCCCATAGCTGGAAGCTTGCTATGAGGTCACTCAGAGGGGGGAGGAACCAGGAGCGCTAACAGGGGACCTAAGAAGAGGGGGATCGGGGTTGCGCTGTGCAAAACCATTGCACAGCGCAGGTAAGTGTAATGTTTGTTATTTTAATAAAAAGTGTGAGCATTTACAATCATTTTAAGACCAAGTTATGTGGCAGACAGTTAAAACTACTAGTGGGTTGTTGGAAAGAAGCCAGAACACTCGAAGGATGCCCACACAAACAAATGAAGAACATACAGTACAAACTCCATGTAGAGAGTTTCCTTTGTAGGAATTAAACCAGCACTGCACAACAAGAAAGCTAATCATTCTTCATTAATTACTCAAAAAGACTAATATGTTACAAGTCTATATTGTCTTTCGTTTTTCCATGGGTTAGCATGTTAAAATAAATTTTAACATCCATTAACTGGAACTTCACTCTCTCAGTCAACATTGACTATTTTTATTCCTTATACTGCTAGCATAAGTAAATAGATAGGAAAACAGATCATAATTGTTTTAAACAATTTTTTAAATATAAATTCAATTTCTTTCTGGTTTCCATGCCTAGGCGAATGATGTCAAACATCCCAGGAGTCTCCAGGAGGGGAGGAGAGTTTTTTTCAGCTAAGCAGACCCTCCTGCCTGCATGCCTGAGCTAAGGGCAGATGGATTCCAGGAAGTAAATGCTATATGAATCATTTGCCCTTATACTCAAGATAGCCATGGCCAGAAATGCAAGGAATTGTTTTTCAAAGTGATCTCTCAGCAAATTAAGCATGGAGACATGGATGGATGGGTGAGTGTGATTTTAATATAAAACAGGAATTTAACAGCATTTTTGGTTTGTGGTGCTCAGGTGCAGTATAGTTCCGCTTTAAAGTGAGCCAAAACAGGATGTGCGACAATTCACATTTCTCAACTGACACTCTTAAGATGGGTACACACACTGAGTTTTTTCTTTTTTTTTTCAACCAGTGGGCTGAACGAAAAAAAAAAAAAAACCTCAGATTCCTGAATCCTCACAAGCTTCTGGGATGCAGAGATCTTTCCCACTGTACTATTGAATTCTGACAGTGGGGACTCTTCTTCCCCTCAGAATATACTGTAGCGGCTGATCAAATGCTGGGTTTGCAGCAGGACTGTTCGACAGAAGCTGGCCTAATGATCAACTTCTGTTGAACAGAGAGGGCTACACACAGATTGAAACTCGGCTTGTTCCTGCTGAACAGGCTGAATTCCGATACATGTGTACCCAGCTTTTAGCTCCATGGAGGAGTAGCTAAAGGAAGTCTATCCTGTAATTTGGACATGCAGTCGAAAAAGAAATTTTTTTTCCTCACTAGGTCTGTTAGTGTTTAGAGCAATGTTAAATGTAGCAATAATTCATTCTGGATGTGGACATACTGTATAGTATAAGGAATTCAAAACTGCAGAAATATGTAAAATTACTATATCTAAATCAATAAGTACATTTACAATGAAATAAACAATGCAAGGAAAGGGGACATCACTGCTTCCTAGAAAACATATCAACAGCCATCTGGCAAGTATCTACAGTGTATCCAGAAAGTATTCACAGCGCTTAACTTTTGCCACATTTTGTTATGTTACAGTCTAATTTCAAAATGGATTACATTCATTTTCTTTCCTCAACATTCTACAAACAATACCCCATAATTGCAACATGAGAGAAGTTAGTTTTGAAATCTTTGCAATTTATTAAAAATAAAAAACAAAACAAAAAAAAACACCGTACATAAGTATTCACAGGCTTTGTTCAATACTTTGTTGAAGCACCTTTAGCAACCAATTACAGCCTCAAGTCGTTTTGAGTATGATGCTACAAGCTTGGCACACCTACTTTTGGGCAATTTCTCCCATTCTGCTTTGCAGTACCGCTCAAGCTCCATCAGGATGGATGGGGAGCATCGGTGCACAGCCATTTTCAGATCTCTCCAGAGATCTTCAATTGAGTTCACGTCTGGGCTCTGGCTGGGTCACTCCAGAACATTCACAGAGTTGGCCTGTAGCTACTCCTTTGTTATGTGGGCTGTGTGCTTAGGGTCGTTGTCCTGTTGAAAGATGAACCGTCACCCTAGTCTAAAGGTCCAGAGCGCTTTGGAACAGGTTTTCATCAAGGATGTCTCTGTACATTGCTGCATTCATATTTCCTTCGATCCTGACTAGTCTCTCAGTTCCTGCCGCTGAAAAACATCCCCACAGCATGATGCTACAACCACCATGATGCTACCACCACCATGCTTCACTGTAGGGATGGTATTGGCCAGGTGGTGAGTGGTGCCTGACGCTTGGCATTCAGGCCAAAGAGTTCAATCTTTCTTTCATCAGACCAGAGAGTTTTGTTTCTTATGGTCTGAGAGCCCCTCAAGTGCATTTTGGCAAACTCCAGGCAGGCTGCCATTTGCCTTTTACTGAGGAGTGGCTTCCGTCTGGCCACTATACCATACAGACCTGATTGTTGGAGAGCTGCAGAGATGGTTGTTCTTCTGGAAGGTTCTCCTCTCTCCACAGAGAAATGCAGGAGCTCTTTCAGAGTGACCATCGGGTGCTTGGTTACCTCCGGGCTAAGGCCCTTCTCCCTCGATTGCTCATTTTGGCCGGGCGGCCCACTCTAGGAAGATTCCTGTCGGTTCCAAACTTCTTCCATTTATGGAAGATGGATGATGGAGGCCACTGTGCTCACTGGGACCTTCAATACCGCAGAAAGTTTTCTGTACCCTTCCCCAGATCTGTGCCTTGATACAATCTTTTCTCGGAGGTCTACGGACAATTCCTTGGACTTCATGGCTTAGCTTACCTTATATAGATAGGTTTATGCCTTTCCTACTCATGTCCAGTCAACTGAATTTCCCACAGGTGGACTCCAATCAAGTTGTGGAAACATTTCAAGGATGATCAGTGGGAACAGGATGCACCAGAGCTCAATTTTGAGTGTCATGGCGAAGGCTGTGAATACTTATGTACATGTGTTTTTTTTTGTTTTTTTATTTTTAATAAATTGCAAAGATTTCAAAAAGAACTTCTTTCACATTGTCATTATGGGGTATTGTTTGTAGAATGTTGAGGAAAAAAATGAATTTAATCCATTTTGGAATAAGGCTGTAACATAACAAAATGTGGCAAAAGTTAAGCGCTGTGAATACTTTCTGGATGCACTGTATACTTTCTTGGTCCAAGTGCAATTTCTGCTTAGACCATTCAAAAGCTTTATTTTGTTTTCTTATGCAGAGGGGAGAGAGATGAATTTTACTTAAAATATTCAGTCATTTCAGTAGCATTTTTGCAACTTGTCAAATAATCTGAACAAAGAATTTCAGCAGTTGGGGATGCTGAGTGACATAATTTACCAAATGACATACAACTGCTTTTGTTTACATTTTAACAGCCGTAAATTCAACAGGACAAACTGCCCAGTATTTAACTTTATTAAAAATATATGTACACACACACACACACACATACATATGTATAAATATAACAAACACATCACTGGAGTTTCATTTTTAAAAATTCAAAACACGGGTGGTATGGATGGTGCCACACCCTGTTAGTTACAATCACAGAATCCCAAAACATTTGGGCTTTTAAGGCACCACAACATACACATTTTTATTTTTACACAATAAAAAAGGATTATACATAAAACACATAAAAAAAAGGGAAAATATTCTGAATAATTAATATAGGTGCACCTATATCAGAAATAAACAAATATCCAACCCTCTATAACTTTATTACACTTGTAGATCAAGATAGCCAATTGCGCTGTCCAAGAAAGAACCATGTACAATACTATAATTTAATTTTATACAAAGAGAAGGAAAGAGGATTATCGATAAGCTAATAAATGTCATTTTAAATTATAACTCAAGGCAATTTATTCTTTTTTAGCTTTGGATAGAGTGGAGACGGATTAGAACATTTTTCAGTTTTCATCGCAGTCTTTGCCCCTGTTAAGAAGATTCACCCTCTCTATTTGTACTGTGTACCATTTTCATTGAAAGTAAAAGAAAATCCCAAAATCTGGGTTGTCTCCAGAAAAGTAAATAGAAGGGAAATCTTCCATTACACTAGTTCCGGTGACCTGGGGGTCCCCAAGGAATTCCCTTAACTGTTTGGCTAGGGGACAAGGAGTGAAGGGAAATCTCTGCAATGTGAAACAGATTATAACAGGGGTTATAACCCTCCCCTACTCTATCCAAAATTAAAAAGAAAAATTTTGCCTATAGCTACTTTAAAAAGAAACTGACCTGTGGAAGGTATGGCAAAAAAAAAAACGCAGGCAAACGAAAACAGACTTGCCACCAGTATTGCCTGTGGTCCACTTGAAGCCATTACCAACTTATTCTGTATTGTTCTGCACTGTGCCTCTGTGTGGAGGTGGCCATCTTTGGAGAGGCAGGACTTTGCTTTCTCATGTCAGAGCCTCCAGCAAGGATACAAGTGAGCAGCACAGTAGTGGCATCATCAAATCTAACTCCACAATTTGGCGAGATTAGCTGTCAAAGACAGCAGTACCTTAGATCTCACTCAGCAGGTATACTGATATGAGGCTATAGGTACAGGAGTGCCTGGGCACAACCACATACCAGAAAAAGCACTGATATTTGCAAAGGGAATTCAGGACAATAATGTACATTGGGTACCGCTTCATCACAAGTAAACTTTCATAAATATTTCCTACAACAACAAATCTTCACGTTTTAAATTCAGGTTGACTCTAATGAAAAGAGTTGAGTAGTTAAGATCAATTGGATCTCGACTACTCAAAAGAATGTAGACAATCTACAAGGCTACACACAGACATGTGGGCAGAAATCTCTGATGTAGAACGATGTAATAAAACATAACAGAACATCATCCAAGCAGGATCCCCATTCAATAAACTCTTGCAAATGAATGTGTAGGCATACAAGACACTGTGTTATATACGTACACCTAGAGCCATCAAGATGTACAAAAGAAGAATGACTGTCCACCTAAATCGATAATGAACAGGAAATTGCTATAAGGGCAATGCATCATACAAAACCCTAGTCTATTTACAGATATCTTATAAATGTATCCTAACATGTGAACTATGACTCAGTACCCTTGAGAGACAGATTGAAAAATTATGTGCACAGATGGATCCACAGCATGGATTTTATCTCTGGATTAGTACCAAAAACACTATCCAGGGAATGCTTTATATTTAATGTTGTTCTCCTATCTGCTCAAAGCAAAAGGGCAATATGACAAATCATAAAACATATTGGTAAAAACATACTTGTCAGACACAAATCTCTAGCTAATTTCGTTGCTACACAATTTGAGTAGATTATTACTGGACATTTCCACAGTATTATGCTGATATGTCATTAGCTTCTGATATATTATTTGTGACAAATCAAACTGATAACAGAGGGTACCTAACTGCAATAGGTGCATTCATATGAAGTGAAAGTTCACACATAGAATAATACTTCATACTTATTAAAATGTCAGTGAGTCAATGCTACTGAAGCAGTATAACAGCCAGGCTACCAGCATTTTCAGAAGCAGATGTCAGCAATGATCATCTATATCATTCTGTTAATATAAGCTTTGTTTAAAAATAATAGCTTTATACAATGTACCAAATGCTGTAAATAGTGAACACAATAAGAATGCGCAGTAAACCCCAGAGCACAAACAATTACTTACTGTAACTGATCGAAATTATGGTTACCTAAATATTACTTAGTCCACTGGCTTATACATAAATTTACATGTAATGAATACTAGCAATAACTTTGGGCAAACTGACCAGTCAGAATTTGTGAAATGATAAATGTGAATCTACTAACCACTATCTAAACTAGGGTCTGACAAATTTGTTTTGAATCTAGGAGCCAGCTAAAAAGTAAGTAGCAATTTTTTTTTTTAGTGCAGTGTGGGTTGTCTGCACCCACGGCAATGCAATTTTTGGGCAACAAGCTTCACGTGATGCGATTTGCAGTGCATCAATCACGGAAAGACAGCACCACATTTTATGTTCCACTGAAAATAATGGCACCTGAATTTGCGTTTTGCTATTGCAGCGATTCTGGTGCAATCTCAAAATGCCCAGGTGTGAATGAAGCCACACTGGTTCACACATATGCGATTTTGGATTTGTTTTGAAACTCACAGATTTGCATGACAGGCTAGATATTTTGTGTTCCTATTGAGGTGGTTCACACAGATATGATCCACACACATTGTACTTTGAGTGTTATTCTGAAAAGGGTCCTCTGCGGGATGTAGTAATGCGTTCCAGACTCGCAAGTGATAAAGTAGAGTTGCATGTGGAGATAAGTGTTCACATAGGATTGCTATTGACAAGATTTCCTGTGGAAGTCTATGGGGCGCGGTTTACCATTGAAGTCTATGGGGAGCGGTTTCCCGCTGAAGTCTGTGGCGCACGATTTCCCGTTGAAGTTTATGGAGCGCGAATTCACGTTGAAGTCTATGGAGCGCGAATTCACGTTGAAGTCTATGGGGCACGAATTAACACTGAAGTCTATGGGGCGCAAATTCACGTTGAAGTCTATGGGGCATGATTTCCCATTGTAGACAATAGGAGGCAGTGTGTGAACCCAGAATGCAATTTCTAGTTGCTGTGGCGACCTGCCATGTGGGATTTGTCAAGCCCTGATTAACCATATGAACCATATGCTTTTGTGGGGAACCACTATATTTCCTCATCTCAGCTTCATACTAATTAAGCACAAATTTAAGGCACTACTTAGCCCAAAAAAGGTGAAGCATAAAGGTTTTGTTTTTACCGACTGGACGGTGAACTTTAGAAAGTTCATACACAATGTAGGTGAAAACTGGTTAGTGAAATTCTCTTCTCCTAATCCAAGCTTGCCATATCTTCCATCACCAAAGGTATAAAGAAGGCCCTTATCTGAAACAGAAAAAAATATATATAAATATGAAATATCAGTATAAACCAGCAGACCAAGCAACTGTGTGATGATCAATCCTTTTCCCAAATATTATGTTAACTTTGCCTTTGTACGGTTTTAATTTTTTTTTTTTTTCATAGCAAGGGCACATACCCCACTAAACAAGAAAAAAAAAAAAGAACAATCAAGTTTTGACTGTACTAGTTTGATTTTTAAAGGGACACTATAAAGGATTTGGTTTAATTTTATTTTCAGATTTATAGTTCTTTAACTGATAATTGCTATCTGTAAATCCCCTTTCACATGGGCAGACTCCACCAAGGAGGATCCGCCTGCTCAGCGGGGGATCTATCTACTTATCCCCACTAAGCAGATGGATGACAGGTCTGTGTGTGTTCTGCTTGTGCAGAGCAGAGACCGACAAAGCCTGCTGCTCTCTATGGGTGGTCGAATGTAAACGGCCTGTCCGTTTACATCCAACTGTCATCCGTTCACAGTGGTTGATCTGATTGGGCCTGCTTGAAAAATAAACAGGTGATTAGTCCGCCCATGTGAAAGGGGCCGAATTTCTTTACTACTTATATACAAAAGCTTTGTTTTACAAATAATCGTGCAGTTTGCACGAATTTCCTCAGTTCTGCTACAAACAATAATCAGCAGTAGTCTATCATAGCTCTAAATGTTAAACCCATCTGTTTAGATATATTGTTGCTCCTAGAGTGTTGCAGCCACAATTGTACCGGTTTTTACTGGTAGAAAGGAGTGTAGATGCAATCTGAAATCCCAACTTAAGGGGTGTGGAAAAGGGGGACCCCATACGTCATTGGCTCCTGCTGCTGTCAATCAAAACCTGTGACGTGGAGGGGAAAAACCACGCTGTCTGTGTCTACCGACGCAGGTAGCATGGCTCAGGACTTAGCCCGCATGAGTGTCCCCTCAGGGGACACTCAGCAAAGACGTGGACTCACTGGCAGGGGGACCCCAGAAGAGGAGGATTGGAGCTGCTCTGTGCAAATGCATTGCCAAGAGCAGCTTCAATCCTCCTCTTCAGGGGTCCCCTGCCGGTGCTCCTGGATCCACGTCTTTGAAGAGTTCCCCCATAGCAAGCCGCTTCATCCTGAGCCATGTTGTCTGCCTCTATAGACACAGACAGAGCTGTTCTCCCCCCTCTGCGTCACAGGATTTGACTGACATCAGCAGGATCCAATGGCTCCTGCTGCTATCAATCTGCCTAGTGAGGAGGGAGAGAGCAGAGAGGGCATAGCGCTGGATCAAGATTGGGTTCAGGTAAGTATAAGGGGGCCTGGGGGAGATCCTGTGGCACAGGTTTTTTTTTTTTCATTAAGAAGGGTTCAGCTTATAGTATGAAACAAAAACCCTTCTGTATTTCACAGCCCAAGCTCAGGAATTTTTAAAAATGGGTTAAATGTCTGTCATGTTTAGGGTAAGTCCTTGCCTTAATCCTCACTCCAACAGAGTCCCTCATGCACTGGGACAGTTCCCCCACAGGCTGCACTGTAAGCTGCAACTGACTCCAGTCGCACATCTGCCTCCTTAGTGTACAACACATGGTTACTATCTCTGTACTGTACATGATGGTGCCTAGGCACCAGAGCCAGCCAGAGTGAGGGTGTATATATAATATTGCTCGACTTTGCACAGCAATTATTATTTTAACAAATTACTACCTTATTTAGCACAGAAACACAAATGTAACACCAAGTGATAGCTAGTGTTATATAATACAGCACAAGAACAGTATCTGCATCACAAAGCAGTTTTGTATTGTGAAAAACATATTATGGCTTACCCACCTGTAATTACTGCAGTGTGGTTTTCCCCACAAGCAACATATCGAACTCTGTGTGGCTTCAGAGCCTCCACTACTTTGGGTGTAGGCGTTTCAAAAATAAAAGTGCCATGTCCTAGTTGTCCAAACTGTCCAAGACCAAATGTATAGACTTCTGTGTCTGAAAAAAGGGAAATTAAAACAATAAATAGAACTAGGCACAAAAGAAAAAAAAATATATGCATGCATTTACTGTATGTAAGTATGAATATGTGTGTATGTATGTATATATATATATATATATATATATATATATATACATACATATACACACACACACATATATACATATACACACACACACTATATTGCCAAAAATATTGGGACACCTGCCTTTACACGCATATGAACTTCAATGGCATCCCAGTCTTAGTCCATTCAATATGGAGTTGGCTCACACTTTGCAGCTATAACAGCTTCAACTCTTCTGGGAAGGCTGTTCACAAGGTTTAGGACTGTGTCTATGAGACTGTTTGACTATTCTTCCAGAAGCGCATTTGTGAGGTCAGGCACTGATGTTGGACGAGAAGATCTGGCGCTATATCATCCAAGAGTGTTCTATCGGGTTGGGGTCAGGACTCTGTGCAGACCAGTCAAGCTCCTCCACCCTGAGCTCGCTCGTCCATGTCTTTATGGACCTTGCTTTGTGCACAGTTATGTTGGAACAGGAAGGGGTCATCCCCAAACTCTTCCCACAAAATTGGAAGCATGAAATTGTCCAAAAATGTCTTGGTATGCTGACGCCTTAAGAGTTCCCTTCAGTGGAACTAAGGGGCCAAGCCCAACCCCTGAAAAACAACCCCACATCATAACCCCCCCTCTATCAAACTTTACACTTGGCACAATGCAGTCATGTAAGTACCATTCATCTGGCAACCGCCAAACCCAGACACATCTATCAGATTGCCAGACATAGAAGCATGATTCTTCACTCCAGAGAACACGTCTCCACTGCTCTAGAGTCCAGTGGCGGCGTGCTTTACACCACTGCATCCGACAGTTTGCATTGCACTTGGTGATGTAAGGCTTGAATGCAGCTGCTTGGCCATAAAAACCCATTCCATGAAGCTCTCAATGCACTGTTGTGCTAATCTAAAGGCCATACGAAGGTTGGAGGTCTTTAGCTATTGACTCTGAAGACAGCTGGTGAATTCTGGTCACTGTGCGCTTCTGCATGCACTGACCCCGCTCTGTCATTTTATGTGGCCTACCACTTCGTGGCTGAGTTGCTGTTGTTCCCAGTTGCTTCCGCTTTGTTGTAATACCACTAACAGTTGACCGTGGAATATTTAATAGCAAGGAAAGGTCACAGATGGACTTATTGCACAGGTTGCCCCACGCTTGAATTCACTGAGCTCCTGAGAGTGACCCATTCGTTGACAAATGTCTGTAGAAGCAGTCTGCATGCCTAGGTGCTTGATTTTATACACCTTTGGCCATGGAGGTGATTGGAACACCTGAATCCAATGATTTGGAGGGGCGTCCCAATACTTTTGGCAATATAGTGTATATATTTGCAGAAAAAGTGCAGTTTTTGTTTAAATTACATTGTCCTATAATATTGTATTTAATATTAGATATTTTAGATATAGACCATCTATTTGAGATTAATACACCGATACCCTGATTTTGCTGCACAGATTATAAATGAAAATAAAAAAAACTTTCAAAGCACATGTGCAGTACCTACTACTCTGATTATTTTATCAAGCACTACCAAAGGATGAATAAAATGAAAGTCAAGGAGCAAATGTAAAATTAACCTGCTAAGAAAATCTGTAAATTTATACATATTTCAAACATTAAAGGGGAACTGCGTTTTTTCTTGACATGTTGGGTTTTTTTTTACTAAAACTGCAGAGTGCAAAATCTGGTGCAGCTCTGCACTGAAAACAATCAGCTTTCAGGTTTTATTGCCAAAGCTAATTTGAAGAACCTGAAGTTAGAAGCTGATTGACTTCCAGATTCTAAGTGCACCAGTTTTAGCAAATCTCCTCCATTATACATATGAAGATGTGAGATCAGCTTAATGTAAATAATGTGTCACTTGTTAGTATATTAAATCCACGTTTCTGTGTAAAGTATGCAAATATGTCTATGGGAGCAGCCACGTTGGCTGATAATATATATGCAGACTCAGCTTTCTGCCAAGTAGTGCTGTATTTTAAATAACTCACACTAAATTTAACAAGTTTGATTAAAAACAGATTGTGGCTATCTGCAATAACATGACACATCTACAATAGTCCTAATAGCAAGAAAACATGTGATTTACACTGTGTTCTTTATGCATGGCAAGAAAGAGGTAAGAACTTTTTTCAGTCTGATTATACTTCTGTAATTTATTAAAAATATTTATGCACTCTGTTAATATATTTATAGTTCTCTAATATGTTACATTGCTTATTTCCTACACTAAGTTCACAATAATTGACAAATGAAACAAAGCATTTTTCTCCATTTCAAAGCTTTAGCCCCAATTTCCATAATTTTTTACAGAAAGTGGAAATAAAAATCAAACTTGAAAGAGTGAAAGCTCCCCCATGTGGACATCTGGTGACGTACACACTTGCTATATAGCTTTGCAGTACATGTAATAATTCCATTAAGGATGCCGACCCCGTTCCACAATCTACAACTGTTTCACTATTTTTTGTCTGTAAACTCCCTGCTGGCTGGCATCATTTGCAAGCTTTAGTAACATGGCAGAGAGTGTAGTGTTTTCAGTGCTTTTTTTCAATGCTGTACATCTAAAGGAGATCAGCTTGAGGTCAATAATGTTATCAGTGTATTAATGTTCTAAAAACCTTGTGTACACTTCACGATGTACATGGAAGCAACCATATTTGCCCAATACATGCAGGATCTACAGTCTGCCTTACAGTACTACAGAACAGTTGTATTTTACTGTTGCTATTCTCAATCAAAATCAATGGGGGACTACATCAAAAGTGGAGTGGTGCCCACCCTGTCTATGTGATAACCCAGCAGTGATGGCAAAACAATTATCTTCTATCCTCAGCTTGTTAAGCATTAAAAATGAAAGGTAGAAGCTAATTGGTTGTCATTCACAGCTGTTCCAGATTCTGTCTGCTCCAGTTTTGATAAATTCTCCTCAATGAGTCTGCTGACCCAATAAAAACAATGTCCTGCCTGCGTTGCTGACATCTTAACAGTTCTTAAGTTCTGAATTCTGAAATTTGCCTGTATTAATTAATCTATAGTCCTTCAAGGGGCTAACTCACACACCTCTATATTTAATACAATACAAAATTCTAGAAAAACGAGTGTGTAGAAAAGTGAAAGTCACAAATACAATGACTTAATGACTAAAGCTGAACTGCGGGAGCATGTAGGGTAGTTTCTGCTCGTTTCTGCCTAAGATAGCAGTAAGAAGTACTTTTACTTGCTTTATCCCTTGCTCCCCTGGTAGGTGGGCCCTTGTTATCCTCATCAAAATCCAGCACTTATTTTCTTTATCATCCATTAAGGGATACAGGAATGTAGAAGTTATTTGATATTTGGGAAGTCCAAAAGCAGTTTAACTGAGGGGTGGACAACAGTTTCTAATGGATTTAACCACTTGCCTACAGGGCACTGAAAATTGGCCTGGGCAGAAAGGGGGTATACCCCCTTGCTGCGCCAGGCCAATTTTCAGCATTCAGCGCTGTCACACTTTGAATGACAATTGCGCGGTCATGCAACACTGTACCCAGTCATTTTTTTTTAGACGGATAGAGCTTTCTTTTGGTGGTATTTAATCACCTCTGGGTTTTTTATTTTTTGTTAAACAAACCAAAAACCACTGAATATTTTGAAAAAAAATATCCTTCATTGATGTTACGCTAATGAGGCTGCAGTGATGGGCACTGATAGGTAGCACTGATGGGCACTGATGAGGAGGCACTGGTAGGTGGCACTGATGGGCATTGACAGGCATCACTGGTGGGCACTGAAAGGCATCACTCATATATGGCACTGATAGGCGGCACTGACAGGCAGCACTGACAGGCGGCACTGATGCGCACTGACACTGACTGGCACTGATAGGTGACACTGAAAGGCAGCTCAGATGGGCACTGATATGTGGCATTGATGTGCACTGGTAGGCACTGGTATGTGGCATTGATGTAGCACTGATGAGCACTGGCAGGTGGCATGGATGGGTACTGACAGCTGGCACTGATGGACACTGAAAGGTGGCACTGCTGGGGCTACACTAATCATCAGGGCACACTGATCATCAGTGCACATGTCCCCTCTGAAGGATGCCAATTACCAGCTCTCCTCTCCTCTCGACCTGTCAGCGTGACAGCTCGTGAGGAGAGAAATGCCGATAAACGGCATTTCCATATTTACATGCGATCAGCTGTGATTGAACACAGCTGATCACATGACCGAGCTAGGGTTAGGGTTAAGGGCTAGGGTTAGAGTTAAAGTTAGGAGCTAGGGTTAAGGTTAGGGTTAGTGAGAGGAGGTAAGGAGGACAACCCCTAAACCTGACCATGCAAAGAACTTCAGTGAGGATCTAAGTTGGTCCGCCATGCTCACTGGTGATAAATCATTATCAACACTAGAAATGTGTAATGCTCCCACCGCTGGAAACTTATAAGATTTAGTTCCTTTGAAAGATTTCAGAGTCCAGAAAAACTGACACCCTTCAAGAAAAGCATTCCACCATGGGCATGGCAAGAAAAAGCACTACAGAGGACATATGGTCCAGTGCTGTCATTGAGTACAAGTGGCCTTGAAAGACACTGAGGGTTCAGGACTCTTTTAGGGAAGGGAGCAGTGGAAAATGCTCCCAGCGGACTCCCAGTAATACTAAAAAGTCCATAAGGGGAGAGGGGCCATTTATGACATTACTCTCAAGGAAAAGTTCCTACTAAGAAAGGAATATGAGGAAGGGGGGGGGGGGGGGGCAGTGTCAGCGGTGTAAGTAGATTTCCAACTTCTGGACAGTGGGAGTTAAGTACTGGAGATCTCTAACTACACACTGCAAAATCAAATCTCTTAAGCTCTTGTAGAAGCATACTGTAGCTGTCAAAGGAGATGCTATCTCTCAAAGAGAAGACAAATTCGCTGTTTCTTAGATAACTCAGAAGTGTCCCACCATGCACATAGACAGAGTGCTTTATGCTTTTTTTACCGACACCAGTCTTATGTGGGATACAAATTCAAAATGTTGTAATAAACCATCACAACAAAAGCGCAATGCTTCAAATGTCCATTTCCTTTAGTACCTTTACAATAGTACAAGGATCCTCTCTCAAGAGCTTAAAGAAGTAGTGAGCTGCTGAGAGCCTGGACCAGCCGCTCTCAGCCCTTCCACAGCCCGACGATCTAGTAAGTGCTGGAGGGGCAGAGCAGAGAGCCGATGAGTGTTCAGCGAAGACTGAGAACTGAGCGATCAGCGGTGTTTGAAATCTTGCGAGGAGCTCCTGGTCATGGCCAGTTTATGGTGAACTGATGTTCTTTCCAATGATGGATTAAGGCCCCAACCGTGCTCACTGGAAAATTCAGAAGTTTAGAAATGCTTCTGTAAACAATGCCATCAGTGTTTTGCAACAATAAGGTTGCAAAGGTCTTGAAAGAGTCCTTTGCTTTTACCCATCATGAGATCACACCTTGGCAATGAGACACCTTTTTATAGGCCATCAGTTGAGACTGAACCAGCTGATATTATTTTGCACTGACAAAGGGCACGATTGCTTTCTAATTACTGACAGATTTCAGCTGGTGTCTTGGCTCTTCATGCCTTTTTGCACCTCCCTTTCTTCATGTGTTCAATACTTTTTCCCTGTGTCTTTCCATTTTATTACACATATCATAATTTCTAAACTTATTTGCTTTGGTTTCTTTGTATGTATGGATTGCATGGGTTGTTACCTACATGTGGTGAAAATTTCATGTCAACAGCACCTTTAGAAATATATTTACCTAGAAAAATGGTGATGTGTTCAATACTTATTTTACCCACTGTAACTCAATGTAGACAAATTTCTACATTACTGTGCCCTCAATGTACCTTTTGTCTTGAATTCTTGGAAAACAGTACACTTCTGGTATGCTCTAGCCCATCTGGTATACTCTACTCCAGTGCCAAGCCTCATAGCTGTTTATCTACAGTGAGATCTATGGCACTGCTGCCTCAGACTGCTAGTCTCACAAGATTTGTCACCACTGTGCTACTCACTGTTCTCCTTGCTGGATGCTCTGACACAAGGAACCAAAGCAAAACCCTGCCTCTACCAAGATGAATGCCTCCACACAGGCACAACACAGAATAAAGCATGGTAAGTCAGTAATGAGGGAAAGGTCACACTCACCTCTCTTCTGTCAGCACAGGGCCTTCTTCCTGGCCTCTCCAGACTGGCACCAGCTTTAAATGGTCAACCAATGCACGGCTCAGCGGTTGATCAATGAATCACTATGCCTAGGCCAACTGCAGCATCTCTGCGCACTCTTGTAACATCGATAAAATACCGAACATTCTACGTCGCCTCATGACTCCTGAACATCCTGTGTCCCTGTGACCCTTGAGCATTCTGTGTCACTGTGACTGCAGCCTCCATAACATTATGTCATTCCATGACCCCAGTGACTCTAGAGAACCATAAGCATCTTATGTCACCCTGAGGCCCCCATCCTTGACAGGTAATGTCAGCTGCAGGGATAACACAGGCATAGGGCAAAGGATTACTCACTAGCATTATCTAGCTTTTTTGGGCACAGTTTCCAGAATTTAGTTCCTTTTTAACAGCCCATCATGGAGCAAATTAGGTAAGGTTTACAACCACGTTAAAGTTTTATTGAATTAACATTTTTTCAATCTATTAATTAATTCTCAATACTACAAACCTGTGACTGCAATGGTGTGCCCTCCACCACAGGAAACCATCTTCACCTTCCCAAATATCCCCGGGACATGTTGAGGTTGTCTGTGTTTGTCCAGTTTCTCCACAGGAAGACCAAGCTTTCCATTTTCAGGTTCCCCAAAAGTGTATAACTCTCCATCCTCTATAGAAAGTTCCAAAAAAGAAAAGGTAATGCAATAACCACCTAAATCGATTTTAACTGTTCCTGCAAGTTAGGCTATACGTCCATGCCCACATAGATGTTTAAAGGAGTTCCAAAGCACAGGCCGAGCCTTTGAACTCCTCTAAATATCTATGTGGGCATGGATGCATAGCCTAAATTACAGGGACAGTTAAAGAGGCAGAAGAAAAAAAAAACAGCTGCCAGCGTGTCAAGGAGCAGCGCTGACAGAAAAAAAAAACACTTTACGTGCCTAAAAGCATGTAAACACATGTAAACGCTTTTACAAACACTCAAGCCCTTGAGCGTTAATTCATTCTGGCCAATGAAATGAATTAACACCCAAGCGCTTGATGCACCTAAACGGGTTAGACACATTTACAAGTATCTTTTTTTTTTTTTTTTGCCAAAAAGCTGCTGCCAGGAGGAAAGCAAACCAAGTATTACATTGTATATCCTGGAGTGTGATTTTCTATGCATTCTTACATCTGGAAGAGGACACGTATGGATGCACATGCTAAATCAGATGTAAAACATGCCATATGTGCATTTTACACATCACAGCCTTCATCCCTACAGGAACTGTGCTTGTGGGTATGTACATCTATTCTGTGTCTATCTATCTATCTAGAACCTCCTTATATTAAAATGCTCAACTTCCAAAAACAAAGCAAACTAAAGCATTTTTGATACATTTTTTATGACATTTAAAATCACTATGGGCAAAACCTTTTTTTCAGTTTTGGATGGGTTTTCATTGCTGTCAGTATCTCCGTTAAGGAGATTCAACTTCTTTATATTTGTCATGTTTACTATTATCAGAGGAAATGAAAGAAAATCCCATATTTTGGGTTGTCCCTATAAGGCCTCATGCACACTGGACTTTTTACAGCTGCTTCTAGGTGCGCCAGGCGTTTCTTTTTACTACCTCTAGACACCCCTGCATGTTATGTCCATGCACACATAGGATTTTAGCACTATTTTATGACAGGAAAGTGCTTTGATGCACCTAAACGCTATGCGCATTTAGCACTTGAGCGTTAATTTATTTTAATGGGCAAAAAAATGTATTTATTCTGGCCAAATAAATAATTAACGTTCAAACGCTTGACATGGGTAAACGTGTCTAAAATTTTTTTTTGGCCAAAATGCTGCTGGCATCTAGGGAAGTTAAAATTAAATGACAGTGTGCATGAGGCAAACACTAATTAGAGTGGAAATCTTCCAATGGGGACACTAGTTCTGGTGACACCATCTTTACAACCCTTACTTTCGTGATTTCCTCTCATTTACTGTTTTGGCTATGGGACAGGTAGTGAAGGGAAATCTCCTCAATGGGACACAGATGGCAAAAAATTGACAGGGGTTATAACCCTCCCTTACGCTATGCAAAAAAAAAAAAAAAAAAAATAAAATGTTGCCTTTAGTTCTGTTTTAATTCATATACAACAGCAGTGCATGGCTGAAGTAGGAAATAAATAAAATAATGGACATTCACAACTGCATTCAGAAGACCACTTTTAAAAGACTCCCACAATGGTGTTCTTTGATTTGAACCTTTAGCATCTTTTTAACAAATTAAAAGAAGATGACTATAGGAGATGTCATCTTCTTACTATCGTTTTATTATTGTTTTGCAAAGCAAACAAGCCATTTTATTCTTTGCTGTAACTGCAAATTTCATTTTCAAAAGTTCTGGTTAAGACACCCACAGAGCTTCAGACTAAAACAGCTTGATTAAAAAGTACGGTACATGGAATTTACTAATATACTACATCATACTCTGTTTACTGAGAACAGGTTGGCTTTAATGCCCCCTTCCCCAAAAGCGCATACTTCCTTTTCTTTCAATCCCTATTGCTATATCCTTCTGCCAAGAGCAAGGAAACGTAGCTGTCTGTAAACTTCAAGTCACTCTGGTCAAGGCTCACATAGGACTGAGGAGGCTTTCCCCACCCTGATATGATGGTGCTAAGCTGTTCACTACCATAAGCCTTGTGACATGAAAGGAAGGGGATGAGTCACATGCTCCTCCATACCTGGAAGTACCAGGTATTTGCTTCAAACAAAGCACAAGTTTGACTTGAAAAGCGACGCACGATGCACAGAACAGACTATTGTCAATATGTGGAAAAATATCAGTTTCTCATCCAGGTTCACAAACGCTGAGGGCTTTGCTTACGTGTAACGAATGCCGAGTGGTAATAGCCGCAGGAGACCCAAATAATCGGCTTTCCAATATCCACTTGGTGAGGACTGCAGACTGTTTTTTCATTAGCGAGGCCAAGTTGACCTTCTGAATTTTCACCCCACATGAAAAGCTTCCCATCCACTGAAATAAAGCAAAATAATGCTTGTATTTAAGTTCATTTTTGTTATTTAAAGTTTACCAATCTCTAGGTCTTCTCTGTCGTGGTAAAGAACAGTGTTATGTTACTGCAAGGTCTAAAGGCAGGTTCATTTCACATGAGACTGGAAAGAGAACTGGATCTGTCTCTCACAGCAGTAGCTATGTATAATAAATGCTTGCAATAACCTACAACTGCTTGTCTATAAAACAGTACTTGAATTATTTTCCATTTAAAAGCCTTGGCTCTGTCTGTTTTTATTTTAGGATTTTAAAATGCAGTACCATCCAGACATGTTATATGCTGATGCAAATTTTGTTAGTCGATTTCTATTATGCCATTCTTTCCAAATGAGTATCTGTCAACAAAACACAGTGGATGCAATATTGGCTGGCTGAACCTATATTTATAAGACGCACTTTTTCCCCCCAAAAAAGGGGGGGAAATGTCAGTGCGTTTTATGGAGCGAATATGGAGTGGCCGGTCCGGTATTTCCACTGCCGCCATGTCAGAATACCGGGCTGGCCGCTCAGCTCTTCTCTGCAGTAGAACCTTATCTGTTCCTCGGTCCAGCGCTGCGCAGTCTTCCCGCGCTGGCTTCATTAGTGTGGGCTCTCGGTTGTGACAGCCGGGTGCCCAGTGCACATGCGTGAGAAGCACTGCGCTTTGTGAATGGTACGGCGTCTTCTGGGACACATGACAGGTCCCAGAAGACGCCGGACCAATCACAAAGCGCAGCACTTCTCGCGCATGCGCACTGGGCACCCGGCTGTTAGCCGGGTACCGACACTAAAGGGAGGATAACTCTGCGGAAGTGGGAGCGGGTACCTGTCAAATTCAGGTACCCACTCCCCCTCCCTCCCCAAAGGTCAGCAGTCTCTTAGTCTTCCCTGTACTGTGTCCACAATCTCTGGTCATCACCTGTACTGTCTGCAGTCTCTGGTCATCTGTACTATGTCTGCAGTCTCTGGTCATCCACTGTACTGTCTGCAGTCTCTGGTCATCCCCTGCACTGTCTGCAGTCTCTGGTCATCCACTGTACTGTCTGCAGTCTCTGGTCATCCACTGTACTGTCTGCAGTCTCTGGTCATCCACTGTACTGTCTGCAGTCTCTGGTCATCCCCTGCACTGTCTGCAGTCTCTGGTCATCCACTGTACTGTCTGCAGTCTCTGGTCATCCACTGTACTGTCTGCAGTCTCTGGTCATCCCCTGCACTGTCTGCAGTCTCTGGTCATCTGTACTATGTCCACAGTCTCTGGTCATCTCCTGTACTGTCTGCAATCTCAGGTCATCCCCTGTACTGTCTGCAGTCTCTGGTCATCCCCTGTACGGTCTGCAGTCTCTGGTCATTTGCTGCACCATGTCGGCAGTCTCTGGTCATCCCCTGTACTGTCCGCAGTCTCTGGTCATCCCCTGTACTGTCCGCAGTCTCTGGTCATCTCTGTACTGTCCACAGTCTCTGGTCATCTCCTGTACTGTGTCCGCAGTCTCTGGCCATCTCCTGTACTGTGTCCGCAGTCTCTGGCCATCTCCTGTACTGTGTCCGCAGTCTCTGGCCATCTCCAGTACTGTGTCCGCAGTCTCTGGCCATCTCCAGTACTGTGTCCGCAGTCTCTGGCCATCTCCTGTACTGTGTCCGCAGTCTCTGGCCATCTCCTGTACTGTGTCCGCAGTCTCTGGCCATCTCCTGTACTGTGTCCGCAGTCTCTGGCCATCTCCTGTACTGTGTCCGCAGTCTCTGGCCATCTCCTGTACTGTGTCCGCAGTCTCTGGCCATCTCCTGTACTGTGTCCGCAGTCTCTGGTCCATCTCCTGTACTGTGTCCGCAGTCTCTGGTCATCTCCTGTACTGTGTCCGCAGTCTCTGGTCATCTCCTTTACTGTGTCCGCAGTCTCTGGTCATCTCCTTTACTGTGTCCGCAGTCTCTGGTCATCTCCTGTACTGTGTCCGCAGTCTCTGGTCATCTCCTTTACTGTGTCCGCAGTCTCTGGTCATCTCCTGTACTGTGTCCGCAGTCTCTGGTCATCTCCTGTACTGTGTCCGCAGTCTCTGGTCATCTCCTGTACTGTGTCCGCAGTCTCTGGTCATCTCCTGTACTGTGTCCGCAGTCTCTGGTCATCTCCTGTACTGTGTCCGCAGTCTCTGGTCATCTCCTGTACTGTGTCCGCAGTCTCTGGTCATCTCCTGTACTGTGTCCGCAGTCTCTGGTCATCTCCTGTACTGTGTCCGCAGTCTCTGGTCATCTCCTGTACTGTGTCCGCAGTCTCTGGTCATCTCCTGTACTGTGTCCGCAGTCTCTGGTCATCTCCTGTACTGTGTCCGCAGTCTCTGGTCATCTCCTGTACTGTGTCCGCAGTCTCTGGTCATCTCCTGTACTGTGTCCGCAGTCTCTGGTCATCTCCTGTACTGTGTCCGCAGTCTCTGGTCATCTCCTGTACTGTGTCCGCAGTCTCTGGTCATCTCCTGTACTGTGTCCGCAGTCTCTGGTCATCTCCTGTACTGTGTCCGCAGTCTCTGGTCATCTCCTGTACTGTGTCCGCAGTCTCTGGTCCTCTCCTGTACTGTGTCCGCAGTCTCTGGTCCTCTCCTGTACTGTGTCCGCAGTCTCTGGTCATCTCCTGTACTGTGTCCGCAGTCTCTGGTCATCTCCTGTACTGTGTCCGCAGTCTCTGGTCATCTCCTGTACTGTGTCCGCAGTCTCTGGTCATCTCCTGTACTGTGTCCGCAGTCTCCGGTCATCTCCTGTACTGTGTCCGCAGTCTCCGGTCATCTCCTGTACTGTGTCCGCAGTCTCCGGTCATCTCCTGTACTGTGTCCGCAGTCTCTGGTCATCTCCTGTACTGTGTCCGCAGTCTCTGGTCATCTCCTGTACTGTGTCCGCAGTCTCTGGTCATCTCCTGTACTGTGTCCGCAGTCTCTGGTCATCTCCTGTACTGTGTCCGCAGTCTCTGGTCATCTCCTGTACTGTGTCCGCAGTCTCTGGTCATCTCCTGTACTGTGTCCGCAGTCTCTGGTCATCTCCTGTACTGTGTCCGCAGTCTCTGGTCATCTCCTGTACTGTGTCCGCAGTCTCTGGTCATCTCCTGTACTGTGTCCGCAGTCTCTGGTCATCTCCTGTACTGTGTCCGCAGTCTCTGGTCATCTCCTGTACTGTGTCCGCAGTCTCTGGTCATCTCCTGTACTGTGTCCGCAGTCTCTGGTCATCTCCTGTACTGTGTCCGCAGTCTCTGGTCATCTCCTGTACTGTGTCCGCAGTCTCTGGTCATCTCCTGTACTGTGTCCGCAGTCTCTGGTCATCTCCTGTACTGTGTCCGCAGTCTCTGGTCATCTCCTGTACTGTGTCTGCAGTCTCTGGTCATCTCCTGTACTGTGTCTGCAGTCTCTGGTCATCTCCTGTACTATGTCTGCAGTCTATTGGTTCAGAATATTTTTTTTCTTGTTTCCGCCTCTAGGAGCGTAAAAAACCTAAAATCTAGGAGCGTCTTATGGTCAGGTGCGTCTTATAAAGCGAAAAATACGGCAGATACAAAGTGAGCGCTGCTGAGGCGCATATACGGTGATGTGAAAGTTACGTCTTATGATGATGCTTCAACATGACAATAGCATAAAGTTGAGTGACAGATGTGGATAGTTCATTCAACAACTGTAACGTAGGTCCATATAGTAAGGTGATCTGTGCTCCGTGTTGGTAACTTCAAGTGACGAGAAACAGTAAAACTATGCACTTACCAGAAGCGCATAATAAATGCGCAAAAAAGATGTATCCTTTATGGGGTTATCTAGGTCTGGTCTAGGGCTGAGGGGTCATCAAGCTCAATGTGGACACATGGGATGATACTGCTAACACAAAGGTCACACTCTGCTCACATACCCATCAGAAACAGCTCCAAGATCACAGCATACATGGATACTCCAGATCCAGATATGGTTCCACCTTATAGGGCTCGTAATAACCTGCTAATGACAGCAGTCTCTTCCCCTGGATAGTTCAATACACAGCTCTCCTGACCTCCCACACTGTGTCTCCGGCTGGCTGAACAAGTCAACTCTTGGACAAACTCCTCCAGTACCATCCGGAAGTAGAGCCGCTGTCTGAGCTCACTTGTTTGTGCTGTACTGGTATATGCAGTATATTCAATAAAAGGGTATTAGGAGGGCCCTGCTCATGAGAGCTTACAATCTAAAACCATATGCATGGTAAGGAAATGAAGCAAACAAGTCTTTCAATAACAAACACACTTTATGAATACTGAAATATCCTTATTTTATGAACTGTGTTGTAATGCCAGAGCGGCTTTATCAGGTGCTTCCTCTGGTATGCTTTAAAATAATCATATAAAAGAATAATCATAATAATACAACTTGGGAAAGCTATATAAGCAGTTTTCCTTACGTAGAAGATTGACTATATCTTAAAAGCACAGATTTGAAGAACAAAATCACCATTTTGATGTTGAAAATACATATAATTGCTACCTACAACAGACAGCATTGTGTACAACCCAAAAAATACTTCAATGTTCCAAAAAAAAAAATCCCTGTAGGTTTTGTTGGTTGACATTTGAACAACAAACATATACATTCTTGGTGCACCAAAGCAACTATCAGTGTTGTATTTAGTAAAATTTAAAGTGGTTCTAAAGCCTTAAGGTTTTTTACCTTAATGCATTCTATGCATTAAGGTATAAAACATTCTGAACTACAGGATCCGTTCAGCCCCCACCTTATACTTACCCAAGCGCAATCCCGATCCAGTGATGTGCATGAGATTGATAGCAGCCATTGGCTCCAGTTGCTGTCAATCAAATGTTATGACAAGGTGGGGGAGGGATGGGGGCCAGCTGTAAAGTTTGTGTCAATGGACAAAGACAGGGCGGCTTGGGAGCACAAAAAAGTGCCCCCATAGAAAGCAACTTGCTATGGGGGCACACCAAAGAACAAAAGGTATACCGCTCAGGCAAACAATCCAAATCAATCCACAAC